TCTCCAACAAGAATGTAAAGCATTTATTTTGTTTGATAATATTTTTAAGTAAAAAAAAAAAATTCCAATAATTTTTGTTCACCATTTTTCTATGAATCGTTTACAACTTGGCATGTAGGACCTCATGAAAAAGTACATAAAAATAAAGTTTGTTGTGAGAAAAGTACTCCTAGTACTCTAATTTATTGTATGTGAAGAAATTTATATGAAGATAATATTCAATCCCTTTACTCAATATGAAACAGTGATAAATCCTTAATGATTAAAAAAAACAACAACAACAACAAATGTCTGAAAATATTGAAGTAACTGAACAATATCTATTTACAAATGCCATTATTAACAGAATTAATGCATTAAATCAAAATCTAGTATGTTTAATATTTCATATAATAATGTATTCAATCATAGCGTAATGTTTTATAGTAGAAAAATAGTTTAAGTCACAATTTATAAGCAGCTGAATTCAGGTTAGTCAATCTTTTAAACAGCGGGTAGCGACATTGTGAAGGTCTGGAAGTGCAGATCTTGCTGTCTGAGCGAGCAGGTCTGAGAGTGTGGTTGGGTCTGTAGTCTGTAAGACTTATTTGAGTTAATATTTAGGTTATTTACTAAAATATATCATTGAAATTGTCCATGGAGTTGAATGCAGTAAATAGTCTGTATAAAAAAGGTCAAAAATAAACCTGTGCAAGCAACCCAGCCTTTATAACCAGATTATTTAACAAAACATGATTACTGCAAAATATTTGTAAGCTTTTAATAAGCCTGATGTGTACAAGATAGAGATGGTATGAAAAGTGCTTTGTTTGTTTGGTTGTTGTTTGTTTTGAAATTTGCGAATCAGAAGTTGTCTAATAATAAACCCGAAACACATGTGGTTGTTGTCATGGAGTGAACTTGGCCAATCGTGTAATATCGGTGTCGTCATCAGAGCTTGAGCAGTAGATCTTCAGATGCTGCACAGTCTGAATCAGTCGTCTGATCTGAGCACTTTCGCGGTACTTTGATGCCACATGTGACAGTCACGTGGTGTTGGTGCAGGATCAATCCGGACAAAATTTCTTACCAGCATGCACCGCTTTAAAACAGATTTCTATCCGTCTCCACAGCGCTGCATGAAGTTGAACGCACCTATTTTCTTAAATACATAGACCAGTATCCATACAACTATCCAATGACCACATTTGTGTCAGTTTGCTGCAGCTTTAGGCACCTATATCAGGGGTCAGCATATCCTGGACCTGAAGATCTGGACCAGTCACATGAGGAGAACAATCCAGACTGCAGAAGCGGTTGGAGTGCCATATGAACAATGGAAAGCTCTGAATGAGATTGATGCTGTGAGTACAGTCCTGTATATAGTTGCAGATGATATTCACAGCACTACCCATTGGGCCATTTGTTTTGCTTCTTTCTCAAAATGTGCTTTTGTTATGAAGGGATTTGTTAGAGATTCTATATAAATTGTCTTCATCTGCAGGGTGTATGTGAGGAGATGACATATGAAGAGATTCAAGAACACTTTCCTGAGGAGTTTGCCCTCAGAGACCAAGACAAATATCGTTATCGATACCCAAAGGGAGAAGTGAGTGTGTTTAAATATGTTACTCATCACTATGGTTTCGTCCACTGTGCTGTCGCATCACAGCAAAAAGGTCACTAGGTGGGTTCGAACCTCGGCTCAGTTGGTGTTTCTGTGTGGAGTTTGCATGTTCTCCCTGCCTTCACGTGGGTTTCCTCTAGGTGCTCTGGTTTCCCCCACAGTTCAAAGACATGTGGTACAGGTGCATTGGGTAGGCTAAATTGTCCGTAGTGTATGAGAGTGTGTGTGAATATGTGTGTGGATGTTTCCCAGAGATGGTTTGCGGCTGGAAGGGCGTCTGCTGCGTAAAAACTTGCTGGATAAGTTGGAGGTTCATTCCGCTGTGGCGACCCTGGATTAATAAAGGGACTAAGCCAACAAGAAAATGAATGAATGAATGAATAAATAATGCATGTCACTTCGGGTTGCATTATGAATTATGAAGTTTATGCTCCGACATACAGATTATATCTTTCCAGAAAAAATCTTTTTCATACACGAGATAGGAAGACAATGCTTTAGTAACAAACTTTCAACATCATTTGTTGTAGAACTGACTACACCAGCCTTTGATAAATCCAAGGAAAAATGTTTTTGGGATTTACTTGTTTGACAGTGTTTTTTTTTTTTTAAATAGGCAAAGACATTGAAGACAATAAAACATATTGATCTCAATTTGGTGCCTTATTTTTTTATTAAATGACAAAGATCATAGTAAGTATATATTTGTGTAAGATGATCAATTAAAATGTACCATACATTTTCCTTTGGCTTAGTCCCTGATTTTTTAGGTGTTGCCACAGCGGAATGAACAGCCAACTACTCTGGCATATGTTTTACACAGCAGATGCCTTTCCGACTGCAATGCAGCACCTTTCTGCAAAACACCCATACACTCTCTCATTCACACACTTCTACACTATGGCCAATTTAAATCATCCAATTCACCTATACAGCATGTCTTTGGATTCTGGGGGAAACCAGAGCACTTAGAAGAAAACCCACGCAAACATGGGACGAACATGCAAACTCTAAACAGAAATTCCAACTGGCCTAGCTGGGACTCAAACCAGCAACCTTCTTGCTTTGAGGCGACAGTGCTACTGAGCCACCTCACCTCAAACTTATTTTTTCATAGGTACTTGTTTGTTTTACATTAACTATGAACCTGTATACTATAATCACAATCTTACAGCATTTATATTTCTGATAATATTATACAGTGCAATGACTTACCGCCTTCAAATATTTTATTTTTTTCATGACAACTCTCAGTAAGATTTAGTAGGATCATGAATATGTATATGGTAATGTGGATGTGTTTAGTCTTAGCGATCTGCTTTGCTATGTTGGAATATCTAGCCAATTCTATTTGTGTTCAATAAGAAAAAGTCAATACAATAATTACATTTAAGGGGTTCCCAACGAACATACATTTCCTGACTCCAGCATATATACACAACTGATATTATCAGGTGGAGTTTTTGGTGTAACGTCACTTATTAGTCATTCTGCAGTCCTTTGGCTCTTGTACCCCAAACATACTTCCTCTTTCTGCAATCATTCTCTGCATACCAAAACTGAACAATTACGTGCATCTTTAATATATTTTTCAACTTCTACAAGCATGATGCTCCGTGTGACATGTATAGTTTGCAGTCTGGAACAAAGCCCCCCACCCTAAATATATTTTTATTATGCTATTTCCATCTTGTCAGCCTTTTCTTCTAAACAGTCTGCAGCACAGTAAAAAAGAGGAAGTGTGTCTGGTCAAGATGTTACCATAGTCATAGAATAGAAACATAATGATTAATCTGTTGTTAGTGTAAACATTTTTCTAAAAAAAATAAAGACACAAAAGTAATAAAATTTTATTTCTTTTTTCCCACAGCTGCAACTTTGATTTTTATGGTAAAGCAAGTACAGAGACTTACTACCGCCAGTATATTCACAGACATGCCATCTGAGAATATAACACACTGTTACTTCAAACATAATGTATATGTAACCACTGTAGCAAATCTAATAACAGAAGGAACTGGGGCAGGGGAGGCTCTCTGAAAACATGTTGCTACATTACAGTGTAGACCAGGGGTTTTCAAAGTGTGAGGCGCGCCTCCCCGGGGGGGCGCCAGAGCATGTCAGGGGAGGCGCAGGAAAAAATATAATATAATAAAAATATCATTATTAAGTTTAATTATTATATGTATTTTTTATTATATTTAAACGTTTTAATTAAACAAAGCAAAAAAAAAAAAATATGTCAAATATAAGAAAACCTTTTTTACCCAGAAGGCCATAGCTGTGAATTCGCTTCTGTTTGGCAAGCCCGCCAATACAGGTATATGCCTGCTAATACAATAGGTCGGTTTCTGAGACCCACCCTGATTCAAAGCTGTAATGAAGTTCACGGCCCTTTGGCCGCCGGGAAGGAGGCGGAGAACCGAAGCAGTTTTAAAGTGATTTAATAATTACAGTGACGGCAGCTCCGTCTAAAGCAAAACAAACGGACGGCAAATCCTCACGGAGACTGCCGTCAAACTGAAAGCAAAAGTAAAATATGTCCGGGTCCGGTCCTCTCTCGGCTTCCTCTTCTTCTTCTTCTTCTTAGTTTTTTGGTGACTTGTATTCTTTGTGCATATCGCCACCTACTGTGCCAGTTGTGCAACCAGATTCTGTTATTACTCTGCCCTCAGAATCCAGGTACCGGTTGACGCTGCGTGTTCAGCTCCTCCCCCCTGCACACTGAATGGGCTCTATGCACGGCGGCGCGTGACGCATTTCCGGTAAAATTTAAGACCCTGAGCCTACTTCCGCCGATCGTACAGTACAGTGCTACAACAGGAGCGCTACTGATAAAAACGAGTAATGTTTTGGACAGTTGTCTTAATGTTTTATGCCATTATAGCCCACTTATATATGTTTATGTCAGCTACATAAATATGACATCTAAACGTTTAAAAGTGTCATTTCAAAGACGTGAGAACAGTACTTGTAGATACCACTGCTGTGTTCAGCAATGCACAGCGTCAAAAATTAAACTCTTACCTTAGTTTCCACACGTTTCCAAAAGACAAAGTCGTGCAGAAGAGGTGGGTTGTTGATATTAAACGTGAGAATTTTACAGAAACAGAAAAAAACAAGAGTGTAGCTGACAATTTCAGTCTAGAAAACTGATCGAGGCTCGAGTGCCAACCGGATGCAGACATTTAAAGAAAGGAGCTTTTATGGCAAATAATAGTTTATTTTCATTGCCTTTGAAGTAAAAAAATGAACATTAATATACATAAACATTTCTTAAGCTACTTTCTAAGTGCAATTTTTAAATTCAGAATAAAGACCTTTATTTTATTCACTGTACATATAAAATATAATTCACTGTATGTAATTTGAAATAAAAATTGTCAAAAAAATGTAACATTTTGAAAAAAATATTTTATTCAGATGAACAGAAAAAATGACATTGAATCAGTTGTTTTCTTGAATCAGGTGCTTCTTCTGTAACTTGTGCATAGAGAGGTATTTGGGTTTATACGTATTAAATAAATAAATAAATCACCCATCTGTTTCATGGAACTTAACACATAATTGATCCATTCCAAACAATTGTTCATGTGACAACTCACATTACACATTTCAGAGTAATGGGCTGTCTGGAAAAGCAAAGCAACCAAATGTTTGCATATCCCACTCTCAGCCACACAAGAGCAGGAGCTATTAACTAGCAGACGATGGCATGGATCTTCTGACGGATGTCCGCTCCAGGATACACATAAAATTTTCTAGCTCTGAATCTCATAATGTTACCTAGAAAACAGAAACAAGAATATTAATAGGTTTTTAAAGACAGTCATTAAAGGCAGTTCACTCAAAACTGAAAATTCTATTTCCTCATCCTTCACTTGTTCCAAACCTGTTTGAGTTTCTTTCTGATGTTTAACACAAACAAAAATACTTTGAAGAAAGCTGGAAACTTGCAACCACTGATATTCATAGTAGTTCTTTTTCATACTATGGAAGTCAATGGTTACAGGTTTTCAGCTTTCTTCAAAGTATCTTCTTTTTAAAGGCATCTGCAGCAATATCATCAGATTAAACTACACAGTAAATCATTAATTTAAATGATTTAAAAGTAGCTCCCTTTAGTCACACTTTAAAATAAGGTTTCATTAATTAATGTATTTGCTCACTATTAAAATAACTATTTAATATTTAATAGTTAACATTGTTAAACTAATTTACTAATGAATAAAAATCCAAAGTCATGCTTGTTAACATTAGCTATTACATTGTGAGTTAACAAGCACAATAAATAAGCATTTGTTCATTAATGTAAAAAACTAATAAATATTGAAATAGACAAATTGTTGATGTGAAATTAACTAATGACACCTTATTGTTTTGGGTCACCCTCCCATTTAATTACAATGTTATCGACTAAATAGAAAGCATGCTATCTCCACTGTTTCAGCAATAAATATCAGCATTGACACAGTGCTATTTGTCTGTTGTGGATGGAACGGCATTGTATTATTTTATTCCTAATATATCTTGATCAATAATCATGCTTACAAGCTAAGACAGCATCTGTGTTTCTGTAATTATCCGAACTGAACAGTGGTGGTCACTTTAGAACAGTAAAAGTATGAATGGGACAGAACTTCACATGTATGCTGTCCTACTCTCAGCTGGTGAGGAGACTCCGATTTCTTCATAGATCTATCGGTAGTAATGAGCTCTCACTGAGATATTATTCCTGCCCTGTTTTTACCTGACACTTTGAGACAGAATTACGTACACATATGATTATTTTTACTTACGTGATAAAGCTGCAGATGGACGGATCGTAAGAGTATTAACGCTAAAGTTAGCCTTCAGGCTAGCTGAACTTACCTTCATAATTGCACAGGTAGGAAGATGCATACAACTTGAAACCCTTCTCAAGCTTTGCTCTGCGGTGTTGTAGAGCACATCCGGACAATCATTTGCACATTTGACGACTCTGCCATAATACTGTTTACCTCCGCTTAAAATCACCCAGACCGGAAGCTGGACCGCGGCCTTAGACAAAACGCGGAAGTAATGCGTACATATAGCCCATTCCTTGGTCCCCAGAATTGTACCAAATCACCAATTGTATTTACTTACATGAGTTATATTTTAGTTATATTATTATTAGTTACATAACTGTTTGTTATATTTTTCTATATCCTTTTATCTAATCCTGTATTATATAAAAATTTTATTAGAATCCTATATCCTAAATGTTCATAATTAAACTCATATTCCAGTAGGTATCCTATATCTTTATCTTTCTTTCCCTTCTCCTTAAGATATTCAATTAGTTCCTTTCTTTCTTCTCTGTATTTTAAACATTCATATATTACATGCTGGATTGTTTCTTTTACATTACAAGATTCACATAATCCATTCTCATGTACACCAATTAAAAACAGTGAATCATTCAGTCCGGTATGCCCCAGTCTCAGTCTGGTAATAATCCCCTCTTCCTTCCTATTCCTATCATGAATAACAATTTTAGTGTCCACATTCTTTTTGATTTTAAATAGATCTCTTCCCTTCAAATCTGTATTCCATATTTTTTGCCACTGTGTTGTCACATTTTTCTTTATAATACTTTTGATTTCTCCTTTACTTAATGGAACATTAATGTCTATTTCTTTTCTTTTAGTTGCATTTTTGGCTAATTCATCACTTATTTCATTTCCCACCACCCCTATGTGTGCTGGAATCCAACAAAACCCAACTAGAATTCCTTTCCTTTGGATTCTCCATAATAGTGAAAATACTTCATTCATTAAATCTTCTCTTGATGACTGATGACTGTCTAATGATCTTAATACTGAAGCAGAGTCTGAGCAAATCACCACTCTGTCTGGTGTCACTTCCTCTATCCACATAAGTCCCACTATGATAGCAACCATTTCAACTGAATATATTGACAATTCCGATGTTGTTCTTTTTTTTATAAATACTTCCAAATCAGGAACACACACTCCTATTCCTGTTACCCCTTTATCTGGGTCTTTAGATCCATACATTTGTGTGCTGCCATAAAATTTTCCATTTACATGCTTATACACATTTTGCTTAAGTGTACCTGCTTCCTCCCATTCATTACTTTTGTCCAAGATCTCAAGATTGATAATAACTTCAGGTATTATCCATAAGGGGACTTCACTCCATACTGGGCTTTTATTACCCATTATATCAAATACTTGGTGTTGTTTTGATATATTATGTATATCACATCCAAATCCTCTTCCTTTATTATTTGTATACTCCCAGCAATCTATTAAAGTTTCTTTTACAATATTCTCTCCATCATAGCTTTTAATAGATGCCCAATATGCCAGCGCCAATTTCTCTCTCCGCAGATATAATGGTAATTCGTTTGTTTCAACAATCAAAGCATTAACTGGAGTTGATTTTACAGCTCCTATACACATACAAAGTGCTCTATATTGGATCCTATCTAATCTTTTTAAAATAGTTTTTGATGCTGCCGCATATATCATACACCCATAATCAAGAACAGATCTTATTAGAGCCTGATATACTGTGAGCATTAATGATCTTTCTGCTCCCCATTCTTGTCCTGCTATTGCCCTCATTGTATTTAAAGTTTTCCTACACTTCTTTTCCACTTCCTCAATATGCTTTTTCCATGTATATCTGCTATCCAACCAAATCCCTAGATATTTAAATTCTTTAACCTCTACTAATGATTTCCCATATATTGATAATTTAATGTCACTTGATATTTTCTTTTTCCTGCTAAAGATCATATAACATGACTTACTGACTGATATTTTGAATCTCCAAAAATTACTCCACCTTTCTACCTTATCTATAGCATCTTGTATATTTTTAAGTACTTGATTCAGGTTTCTTCCTCGTTTCCATATAGCTCCATCGTCAGCATAAAGAGCACTTCCTATCCCGGGTCCTAAATTTTTGAAAATATCATTAATCATTATGTTAAAAAGCAATGGACTAATAGTACTGCCTTGAGGAATAACGTTTTCTGCATTAAATGATGTTGAATTAGTATTTCCCACTTGAACCATAAATGTTCTATCACTCAGAAATTGTTTTATCCAGTTATATAATTTTCCTTCTATGTTTATTTTATCAACTTTAGCTAACAATCCTTCACGCCAAACTGTATCATATGCTTTTTCAATATCAAAATACACAACTACCATAAACTCTTTCATGTTAATCGCCTTTTCTATTTCATTAGTGACTTTACTTAATGCGTCAATAGTTGATCTTCCTCTTCTAAATCCACATTGATATTTGCTATATTTTCCTTTTTTCTCCAAATCATAATTAATTCTATTCACTATCATTTTTTTCCATTAATTTACCTAAATTTGATGTCAGTGCTATCGGTCTGTAATTTTCCGGTTTTGTAGGATCTTTCATTGGTTTTCGAATCAGAATTACAATTGCTTGTTTCCATATTTTTGGGATTATTCCTTCTTTCCATATTTTGTTATATAATTTAAGTATCACTAAAATAACTTTTTTCAGTATTTGCACATTTCCCAAGTGCTCTTTTTAATTCTGAAGCTGTAAAATCAACATCCATACAACTATTTCCATTTATTTTATTATGCAAAATATTTGGATTCATTTCCATAAACTCTCCTCTACGTTCTTCATACTCATCCCCTACTTCTATACAATATAATCTTTGTAGAACATTTCCAATCATATTAGCCTTTTCAGTTTCTGATATGGCAGTTACATCCTTCTCAATCAACACTGGTATTTGTTTCATCTTTTTCCCTTTCCCACTCATATTTTGTAACATTCTCCATACTTGAGCCATGGTGGTATCTTTCCCCATTGTCGAGCAAAATTTTCTCCATCCCTCCCTCTTAGCAGTTTTAATCAGTCTCCTTACATTAGCTCTTGCTCTCTTGTATATCAGCATATTATCAAAATTCATGTTTTTCCTAAGCTGTTTGAATGCCTTATTTCTTTCTTTAATTGCCTTGCTGCACTCTTCTGTCCACCATGGAATGTTCCTCTTTTTTTCACCTGCAGTTCTTATAGGTATGTATAAATTAGCTGATTGTATTATTAAATCTGTCAGTGACTTGCATAATATTTCCACTGTATCCTCTTTAACCTTTTCTAAATTTTCTTCACAGTATTTCCCAAATTCCACCCAATCTGCTTTCTCATATTTCTAGCTATTCTGAAGATATTGACCATTATTAGAATTCCTCACATTTAATTGACATATTATTGGAAAATGATCACTTCCAATTGTGCTCTCACTTAATTCTTTCCATTCACAGATATTAGCTATTTCATTTGAAACGAATGTTAGATCTAAACATGATACTGTATTATCGATTATATTATATCTAGTGCCTTCTCCAGTGTTCAAGCAAACTAAAGTCCTTTCTTCCATAAATTGTTCTATTATTTCCCCATTTTCATCTATTTTTTTACTTCCCCATAACCAATTGTGAGCATTAAAGTCACCACACCAAAGTTCTTTTTTTCCTCTTTCAACCTTTTCAAGTGCATTCATTGAAATGTTTTTACACGGATTATAAAAATTATATATTACCAGTGAATTTCCACAATAAAAAACCTCAACCATCACACACTCTACTTCCTCCACCTCTTCCAAGACTCTGTAAGTCATTTCATCCCTTATAAATGTAGCTACCCCTCCTCCTTGACTCTCTCTCCTGTCTTTCCGTATTGATTTATAACCTTGTAAAGCAAACTGAATATTTGGTTTAAGCCATGTTTCTTGTACACATATTACATTTGGTTTATATTCTAACTCTAAAACAAATTTTTTAAACTCTTGCCCATTTGCAATTATACTTCTTGCATTCCATTGTAGAATACTTATAACCATTAAGCTAATCAGAAATTTGAGAAGCATCATTTATTGCTGATCTAGTGAGAATGTCATGAATTATTTGGGCAGAAATTCCTGTAATTCCTAAAAACTCCGCTGCAGCATCTAGAATTGTTTTGATTTTTGCTGACCTGCTTGTCATTACAGCTGTTACATTGATCACTTTGACAATAAATACCAAAGAGTTCTCTTTTGTCATTATGAGGTCATTTTCATTTATACATTTGTGATTACACTTATTTTCCCTTCTGTTCCCAGTCTCATTATTCCTTTCTAGTTGTTTTTCATCTGTCTTTACTTCCTCCACTCTTATCTCCTTTTTCTGGCAGCTCTTGACTGCTTCTGCATAAGAATCTTTGTGTTCAATCTTGAATTTCTGTACCTCTTTTGCTTTTAACTGAAATTCACATCCTCCATATGCCGCACTGTGCGGACCCCCACAATTGCAACATTTTAGATCATTTGTACATTTATCATATTCATGATCTTCACCACACTTAACACATCTCATCTTTCCTCTACATACTGCTGCTACATGACCAATCCGCTGGCACTTGTAACACCTCAAGGGCTTTGGAATGTACTCTCTAACTGTATAACTGATGTATCCCATTTTCACCTTTTCAGGCAGTTTCCCTTCAAATGTCAGCAAAATGCTCATACTTTCTTGTCTATCTCCATTTACATTTTTAAACAATCTTCTCACATTGATTACTTTTCCTCCTAATATATTTTCCTCGATCTCTTCATTGGAAATATGTGTTGGTACACCTGCGATTACCCCTTTCTCATTTTTGGCTACTCCTATTTCTCTAGAAGTTACCTTTTCTCCGTTCATCTCTTTGATCCCAAGTAATTTATTTCTTTGTGCACTGTCCTTGACTATTATTAGCACTCTTCCTTGTCCCAAACATCTTGCCAAGCTAACTGTACCGATTAGCTTATCTATAGCCTTAGACAGCCCAATCGGATGTAGATGTTTCCCTGTACCTTTGTCAAACGTCATCATTACTTTATATCCTGGTATTTCATTTTGCGTTTGATCTTTCCTATTATCTTTCTCACTCGTTTTAGTCTTTTTTTTATTTCCGTTTACCACATTACTCGTGTCCTCATAGTCTTCCTGTTCTTTATACGTGGCTTTTTTACGTTTAGCGTTTTTCTTTTTAGAAAATACTTCTGTAAATCCTATACTTTCATTTATCATT